TTTTAGGTCTCAATTACTACATCTAGCTCGTAGACACGAAGCGTCAAGGCTAAGACACTCACAAGTGTCGTTTTTACTCATTTCTGGGTTACGGGGTTATAGGGTTATCAAGTTATGGGGTTGTGGCGTTGTGGGGGAAAGATGTTGAAGGATTAAGGTGTGTGGGGTTTTATTTTTTTATGGTTTTCAATTTTCATGGAGTTATAGAGCTAGAGTTATCGAGACATTTCATTATTAAGCAGTTTTTTTTTGAGGTTATGAAAAATCCTTCTGACATGGAGTTAAATAGACATCGTATTCGGATTCAGCGTCCCCAAAAACATAAAGTACACCTACTCAGACCTCGGAGGTATTTTTTTTTTTTTTTTGTGGAGCTATGTAATATTTAACATACTGATGTGCGTGCAATGACAAAATTTAACGCGGACTGGGAGGAAGATTTATTAAGTGACGGAGAGGAAACTATTGAAGTGGATGTATGGTTATGTCCTGTTCTAAAAATAAAAATTGGCAGTAACAGTACCGCCGATGTATTTCAGAAAAATTTTAGAATAAAGTAGATGACGTTAAAATCGAGGCGTTACCGATAAGTAATGTTTTGGTTTCTTTTGATGCAAGCAAGAAGACTAGTAGCACAGTAGCTTACTGCGCCGGTTTGCGTGTATTAGTTATATCTAAGAAGACTAGAATACACTCAACATTCACATATCCGAACTCCAAATTTCCGAACTCACGATATTTCCGAACTTGTACTTCCACACAAACTAACTTGTCGCTGATTGGTTGACGACAAAAAACCGCGAAATTTGAAATGAGAAAAAAATGTAAAACACAATAATGCGATTGTTATCAAACATTTCGATTGTCACAGAATTCAGCAAAAAAGGAAATCGCCCTCCCTCAGCAGCACACCTAAGACAGGTTCTACAAGAGTTCTTCTTTGTACAAACCAGTGGAAAACACTTATTTCAAATGGCGTATCATAAGTACCAGTGCACTTTTTTGTGTCAATCCGTCCACTCAATTTTCGTCTTTTTTCAACTTCCGACAAGTAAATTTCTTTTTTCCCAAGAATTTCTGCCACTGACGATTTACAAATATTGTACATCTTACATAGATCAACATTTTTAACACCATTTTTTGCGTGATTTATCAGATCCAGCTTTTGCTCCAAGGTTAGCCTCTTAGCAGGCTCTTTTCTCTGCAAATAAACAGTACAATAATGTTTGTTTTGTATCACGGTTTTCTTAAAAATACATATTTTCTCATCATTTTTCATTTCAGTTTTAAATTATTATAGGTTACGTCAACAAAATGTTCAATAAAACAAACCTTTACTTTGAATTACAAAATAATTACCTGCATCACTCTCTCCTTTGCACCTGACATTTTTTTTTTGTTTAAAAAAACGTTCTTTTATTAATATGTACACATGTATGTATGTATTACATTTGCATAAAAAACTCGAAAAACAAAGAAAAGTACTCGAATGAGCCAGAAAAACCCTTTGCGCATGCGCCAGCAGTTCGGTTATCCCGAGGTGACGAGAGTTCGGAAATGTGTAAGTTTGCGGAACGGAAAAGTTCGGATATGTGGATGTTGAGTGTATATCTAGTCTTCTTTGTCACATACACACATACTTTAGCGGCGCAGTAGCCTACCGCGCCGAGCCTAGGCACGTTCGAAGAGCTAACTAGCGGCTTTCAGATTTCGACCCGTCACCAACAACGAAATTCGGTCTCCTTATATTCTAGTCTTCTTGGATGCAAGGGCTCGTAAAGAAAAATTAAAAGGCTAGTATTAATACCACTTAATGGAGAGATTTAGATGAAATTTTCTTAGTCATCCCGACACTAAATAAGGGTGTTATATTCGGATTAGACTTGCTAACAGAAAATAAAACTGTTTAATATTTTGCAAATAATATTTTGACTATATTGAAAGACGACAATTCGATTGAGGTTCCTTTTTATTATTCTCACATTCCCGTGGTTCCTATTTTTAAATTTAATCAATGAACTTCCAGCGCGTCATTAATTCTCGCCTAGTGAACTGCAAAACGCAGCAGAAGAAACAAAGAGGTTGAATGAATCCCGTAAAGCCATAAGGAAGTGTTGGCAAATGTATTAATGGAATATCAGGATATATTTTCAGAGACGCCGGATCGGATGAATAATTATGAACACGAAATAGAATTACGCGATTATAAACCTTTTTATAAATGTTCATATCCAATTCCACATATATATAGAAGTTAAGCGCCAAATCGACGAAATGTTATTATGGAATATTCGTGAAGAGAAGAATACGGAGTGTGTATCCTTCGAGTTATGGTTAAGAATAAGGACAATTCGCTTCGCGTTTGTCCTGGTGCACGTTATTTAAATTCTCGCATCTGTAACGATTATGTGGTACCTCCGAAACTTGATTATTTGTTGTACGGGTTTAACAAAGGGACCATTTTAAGTTCAATTGGTGTGACGGCTTCACATTGGCAAGTGCCAATTAAACAAGAACAATTTTAAACAATATCATTCATTCTTTAATAGGTGTTTATTTAGTTAATTTCGTTACATTCTCGTGTACCAGGTATGTATCAATCATTAAAACAGGTAAGCATCCATTTAGATCAGTTATCTCACTTCAACTAGTATGTTCTTCTATTGCTAAATATATTCTATGCTTTATATTCTATGCTTTGTATTCTATGATTTGCGCCTGTGCGAAAATTTAACACAGAGAGAGGACAATTTTATGTGAATAGGTGGGGAGTCTGATGCTAGCTCTCGAGGTGTAAGGTTAGCGATATATTTTTCTGAGTGATTTTCAAATCTTGCTTTATTTTGGTAATCCTTTTGGATTTTTATATTTCTGTTGAGAAACCTATAGTAGAATTATACATTTTAGCTGCGCATAATCATATTTTTGTATTTCTTTAGGAATTTAAGGGATTTTACCTTCGGAACACCACGTGTCCTTGATTTACACAGCCCCACAAACAAAAATTCGGGTTCGGGGGACAGACCATGTTTACTACATGTTTTTGAGGTCGCTGAATCCGAATCTAGGGTCAGAATAACCTCATCGGGCTAGAGTTTCCCATAACCTCAAAAAAAACTCATTTTTTGAGCTATATACCGATAAACCCTTCACATCAAACCCCTTAACCTCTTGAATCCATAACACGATAACCCCATGATACCTCGAAACCATATCTTCATAATCATATAACCCCATAACCCCCCCCATATCCTCATTGCCCCCAAATTTTTACATTTTTTACCCAGATATTTTAAGGGGCACACCTAGTTAGTATATTGTACTATGTGGAGACCTAAATATTGACTACCTTAGTAAAAGCATGTCTAGTGATATTTTACTTGACACATTCGCATCTTTTGATCTGAATTTAGCCCTGGATGCATCAACTCGTATCACATCATACTCGGATACCGCAATAGATTACATGGTCACTAACTTACAAGAAAATCTCGTTTATAATTCTTATATTTCAAATCCTTGCATAGCTGATCACTTAGCATAAATAATATGTTTAAACGTAGAAAATCCGAGAGAATCTGACGTCAAACCAATTCAATTTTATTATCTAAGAGATACATCTGAAGTTCACTTAGCTAAATTTAAGCATCTTGTAAGCATTACAGATTGGGGGAGGTATCTATTTGACAAATAGTGTTGAAAGTGCATATGAGAACTTCATTGAATTACTTACTAAACTCCTTGATATTTGCTGTCCTGTCATAACCAAAAAAAAAAAAAAAAAGGGAAATAGAAATCCCATGAAGCAACCCTGGATCACACATGATATTTTAGAGGAACGTAAACATCTTCAAAATTTATTTTGGCTAATGAAGCAGACAAAAGATCCTTTAGTAGAAAATGCCTACAAAAAAATACAAAAAAAAATATCAAATCTATACAAGATTCAAAAAGGTCATACTTTCAATCTAACATCTCAAAATCAAAAAATAAAACAAAGAGTCTGTGGAAATTGATAAATACTCAACTGAATCGAGTAAAATCTATAAGTAATCAGCTAGAAATAAATATAAACAACGAGATAGTATCTGACAAACAACAAGTGGCAGAATCTTTTGTCTCCCATTTCTCAACAGTGGCAAGAAATAAGATACGTCAGCATTTTTCGCATAATATCTCCAAAGAATGCACTACCTGCGAATATGTATCTGATTCATTTTTCACATCACACGAGAAGATATAATATGTACTATCAAAAATCTTAAATCGACTAATTCCTCGGGAATTGATGGTCTTACACTAAAAATCATTAAATCGGCAATTCATGACATACTTTTCAATTTCATTTACTGCAATTCTTGCTTTTACCACCCTTTAGGGATGGTTTCTACCCCTAAAAAGCATATTCCGGAAGAAAAAGAAAACAAGGGTTCAATATTTTTTAGTATTCTATGAGTGTGCAAAGTTTCATTTAAATCGGTGAGTGACAGTTGGGTAGTGTTACTTGTTAGTATTCAATAATGGTTTTATATGAAGATTTGTCAGTTAGTGGAACAAAAGTTAAGTAAGTAGGTGCCAATACAAACATGCGCCACGGAAATAACAAAAAGAACCCTGAGAAAAAAGCAGCTGTTACAGTGTATTCGTGACCTACTCGATGAGTCGAATGACTTGGTCTTGAGTGGAGCAGACCACGTATATGCAGTGTATCCACGAAAGGTGAATGAATATCTTAGATAATGGATATGGTGTCATCTGGGAGAAAATTAATATTAGGTTCTTCCACATCCACTTGAGTAATGTCGGTCAGACATTATCCTGTTACTAAATCAATTGGTTTATTTCCAGTTGCATCCAGTTACTCATAATGCAAATTTTGCGTCATGAATACCTTTCTAAGCTATTCCTTTCTTACGACACATCACAATTAAGACTTGAAGCCAACATTCCTAAGGATTATTCTCCTAATTCATTAATATCTCATGATTATAATATTTTCCGCGGCGATAGCTTAGTGGTAATAGCGCCAGGTGAGAAGGTAGAGATTTCTCCAAGAGCTATTATCTGCCCGGGTTCGATTCCCGCTTGTGGCAAGTAACGCTTGTCATAAGGTTTGGTTGTGTGTCCTACCTCTTTTCCATGTGTACCCTCCCTGACACAATCGTAATGGCTCCTAGAGGGAAAATGTCCTCTTAGAGATTAGATCCTCTTCTCAGACTAGTCGTTTGTGGTATGAAGCGTTTCAGTCGGATTAAACAGTTTTATTGTTAACTGTAATCTTTAAAAGATTCGTCTTCTAAATGTTCGCGTGATACTAAAATTGCTTCCATCGATACTGAAATCGCCATTTAGGGTCTTCTAAAAGCACCGCCATTCTCCAGGAAACGTTCTATTAGGTAAATTAATAGCCGAACTTGCGGAAACCCTGCGTTATTTACTTTTCGTCGTCAGAAATTTTTCTCATTAAAAAGCCATTAATTCTTCAGGCAGAACTCCCGAAGAATCCCTAATGCAACCAAGTCTCTGCGTATGCGTCGCTCGCCGAATATGATACACAATATAAATAATTCAGGAGTTGTTCCGTCCTTAATGTTACGGAATATGTAATGTAAAAACTGAAATACTTCCGTATGTCAGCGTCGTCGTCGTCGCGGTGTTTTAATGACGATATCACAAAGCGTCCCCCCCCCCCCATTATTTATACATCTTAAGCTGCGTGTTGCGCTCGAAGTTGATCCTTTGAAGTGTAATGCGCGACGTCGCCGACGCCAGAGCTGCGCTGCTCACTTCACCTACAATGCTAATTTCAGTGTAGAGATGTGCGTAGATTACATCCGAGTTAATTTTCCCACCTTGATGAATATTCACCGAGCTCTCGTCGGCTAGTCTTTTGACGTCAGACGGTTTAGGATAAATGCCTTTCTTCGCTTTGTGTGCGGATTCAGGATCGCTTTCGCCGTCTGAGGAGAGTATACAGTAAGATTTTAACTTTTTGCTGCCTTACAAGGCACACCTCCAATGAGTGAATAAAAGTTTAGTGAAAACCACCGAAGAACCTACGTTCTTCGATAAATAAAATTTCCTTGACGGGCTAAACGAAATTTCCTTTATCATCAGAATATTCTCCCTAGACCCTCAAACAAGAAGCCACTCATCCAACAGAATGTAAACTATTTTGGTCTATTTATAATATATATAAATTTATAATATTTATTAGGAATTAAGCTCAGGCGACGAGAGGAGATTCCTCCAGTCCCAAAAACCTGACAATGGGACATACAGAGATACATACCAGCGTATGTATCTACCTTCTCTCAATCTTCAAAAATATTTCTATTCAGTTGGTAAGTTCTCATATTTCGTGTTCAACCTTCTAAATATTGTGAGTAAGTGGCATGGCAATATCTATGATGATCTCTGTTCGCTGTCCCTTGTTTATCAGCACAATATTGCCACCCAGAGGGAATTAAAGACAAATGTTATTATATAGCTTATAGAAATTGGCAGAATCGGCAATACGACGTATAAGTAGATCAATCAACTGAACTTTGTACAACTGCGTGACCCATGTATGTACGTCTATTTTATATTGTTAGATAAATGCATATCTATTCGATTTGTGTTTTGTTAACCCCCTAAGTCATTTGTGGTGGAGATTGGATTTGTTCTTTTTAATAAATGATGTTATTTGTTTATATAATTTCATTGTATTATTTTGATTTAGTTTTACCTTAGCAAATTTACCTTAGCAAATGTTTTTCGTTCAAGCGAGTCATATTTCATGTGTTATCTAGTCTTATCATTTTTATAATTCATGATAATATTTATGGTGGAGATTTCGGAGAACTAATTATTGTGTAGTCACAACTCATGACATTTTGGGTGAAGATGCCAGTTAAAAAATACAGTGCCATCCATTAAGTTTGCTCCATATGGGAAACATTTTTGTATTTGCATTTAAGAAATTATTTTGGCCGTTAGTTGTTTGGGCATGTCTTGTGTCTATCATGCAGTGTCAAAAGTAAATAATTATGGTAAACCTTGTAGAAGGCACACTTTTTGAAGCGACACTTTTGTGATGAACACGTAATTTAAATTGCTAAAATTAAAATTATTTCCACCTTATAGCAGTTATAATATTTATTTTAAAAAAAAACCTTTTTCAACTTTTATAATATCTATTATAAAAGAATAACATTTAGAAAAAATGCTATTCTAAACGTGCTTTCTAACTTTTTGTATTATTCTTAAACATGAAATAAAGTTTGCACCAAAAATTAATTTAAGATTTCTTGCAAACTTTTTAATAATTGAGTTATTCGTTGCCCGTTTACATTGTTTTGAACAAGAGTCCAGAAAATACGATTTTAATTATGAGATTTCGTTCGAATTGTGGTACGAAGGTAAGTTGAAAAATGTCAGGAACCGCTTTTTCACCATACTCCACTGAATCTATGGAGCTAATCTTTTACAAAGAAATAACTTTCCTTTATAATATTTTTCTCTAGGGTTGAAAATAAAGGTAGTTTATTCTTGAGTCGACTTCGTATGCTACTCATAAATTTCCGTATGCTACTCATATATTATTAACTTTTTGCCAGGTTTGATGAGCACTATTTTAGTTCAAAAATATGCCCAAACAACTGACGGTCAAAAGAATTTCTTAAATGCAAATACAAAAATTGGTCCCATATGGTGTAGGCTTTATGGATGGCACTGTATATTTTCGGTTGAAATCTCAATTCAAGTATGAAGTTCAATCGAAAATAATTAGCTTATTCCAGTGCGTCACATAGAATACTTGGCTGGTAGGTGGATAGACTATACTCATAAAAATTAAAAATCTTTAACGAGGCCACATCCGCCTAACTACGGCCCTGTGCTAAGTGATAGTGATGACTTGCTAAAAGCAGGATGGCATAATTCAGGCGCCGTACATTTTTTTAATTAAAAGCTAACTGAATTTACTTGTTGTTTATAATGAATGTCTTTTTTCCTGATTTATCCGCAAATAGCTCGCTTAAGACCCGAGTGCCTTTTGTAGTAAAAAGGCCGTATAAGAGCCCCCGGCTCTTACGCGGCGCTAAATAATGGAAATGTTTACAACATTTTCAGTACGAGAGTTCCGCTCCTGCTGCTTTAGTCACTCCTTGTCTTGACAATGAAAATTAATAGATTTTTTTTGTTTCTAGACAAGGCCATTCGGTCGCTAATTTTTAATTACCTGGTATCGTTATTTCCCTCGAAAACAACATACAACCAAATGTTTTGCCTTTACAAAGAATCGTCTGGAAATCCCACGCATTTTTTTAATTGTATTCTATCTATACATGTACATCTACGTATGTACGGGATTGGTTTTATAAATTATTACCAACTCCTCTTTATTATTTTAATTTTTAATAGATTTCAAAGAAGCAAAAACCCATGTTATATGTTTCTTACATACAATCCAGATAAGATATTGGTTATACTAATGCAACACATATACACAGGGAGGTAAAAAATGAAGTTTTTTAAATGTAACGCCCTGTATATTTCGATAATGTTAATGTTTTTCTTTTTGTATGTGTACATATATACAGGGTCTGTCCGGAAAGTAGTCAGACCGATTTTTTAAATTTGTTGACAATATTGGTACATTGACTTAATATTCTTCAAAGTAAGACCCATCTGCATCAACACAACTTTTCCAGGCTCTCAACTCTGATGGTCCGGCGGAGCGCCGGCCAAGCACTGGGAATTAAATGCAAGAATATGATGATGTCTGTCGCTGTCGCGCAAAGGCGGCTGTGTTGCGGACGAGTGAGAAGGCAGAGGACAGGCACCGGCACCGGTGCTGCGAAATGCAGCACCGGCACCGAGTGCTCGTTTTGGAGAGGCCTCGCATAGACTGAGCCGTGGTGCCGTCCTTTCATAACCCATTTGAGTTATGAAAGGAAGAGAATGAGGTCTGGGGTGCGACAGCTGGGCTGTAAGGTGGCTGGGGAAGCGTTGGAATACGGTGCTTAGTCAGGTAGTCCATGACAGAGAAGGCAGTGTGGCTCGACGCATTGTCATGGTCGAGCTTCTAGGAATCGACGAATGCTAGGCGGCAAATTTAGGTGTTGAGATATCATCCGCACACTCAATCTGCGGTCAGAGTTTAAAAGCTTTTTTACTTTCACCATGTTCTCGTCATTTTTTATAGTTGAAGGGAGTTGATCGTCCTCAACTTTCTCTCTTCCCTCACGAAACAACTGCTGCGCTGCTTAGCTAAAACCCCCCACCTCACAACGCGCGCAGAAAGGTACCCTCCGTCACTTCGTCTAGGCGGAAAAATTAAGTCTGACTATTTTCCGGACAGACCCTGTACAATTTCTCGGATTATATTTAGAGGGCCAAATATAGTCCTTAAATACAAAAATCATCTACATAACCTACCTCTACTTAGTTTCATTACGTTTTGGTCCATTATTGACACAGCGTTATTTTTATTTGGTTTCGAAACAGACGTACTTTCAATATGGATGTTATAATTTGATTAGATAATTTTGTATAGATTTTTAACTATGACACAAACAGTAATAAAAAAAAATCATATAACAGATGTATGTACATATATACATAGTTGGTCATATGTTCAGAATGATATACGGAACCTAAATTTATCAAAGACAACGGGGTGTTCCATTAAAAAAATTATAATCCCTTTGTACAAATAAGGAGTTTTAGTTAAACCGTTATCTTAGCTGGGTTCTACGATTTTAATTTTATTTTACTTTAATTGAACAAAAATTAAAAAGATAATGGAGGATATTTATTTATAAAACTAACCCTGTACATAATAATAGGACAAAATAATCCTAATCAGCACCCTAAGCAACTATAAACCGTGTTTTTTCTCTCTTTTAATTCATACACCTTTTTACACAACAAAATTAGCACCTTGCTTGTACTTCTTTTGTAACTAACAGGCAAGGATTAATAATACATTTTTTCACAAAAAAAAAAAAAAAAAAAAAAAAAAGTAAAACTGTGAGTTAGAGAAAACTATACCATATTTAACTACCAGTTATATAAATAACGATATTTAAAAAAATCAAACCTAGTA